CCCACATAGGACTGCTTACTTAGGGACTGGCAACCACAATGTGCAGAGGCATCTTTCTTCATGGAGGTGAAATCTGTTTTCTCCATCTGAGTTGGATTTCAAGTTGGCTTTTATTTGAGCTAATAAATAATTTCTTTTAAAAACATAAACATATTGGGATGGGCAAAGAATTGTGACTCATGAATTTGTGTGGATTACTGAAATACCAATGCTTAACAATAGGTAGAGGAGAGGTATCTGCCAAGCTTGGGTTGAAATAGAGTCACAGAAGTCCAAGTGATGCTTGATTATGGCGAGAACCAGAAAGTCCTAGTGGTGAGTTGAAGGAGTAAAATGAAGGGATTGAAGAATGGCTAAAAAAATTACCAAAATATTTCAATATTTTAAAAACTTAYACAAGTACATTTATACTAGTATACAGTACTGGAGTCCCAGTATTGGTTCTATGTATTTTTCTTTCAGTCTCAATAGTTAGGTGAGTTATGTGGCAGAAAGAGGACACTGATTAAAAGAGAGAGAGAGAGAAAAAAAAAAGATAATGTAATTTTGAAGGGCACAGTATCARAAGAGAAAGAAGGCAGGAAACATCAAAACAAATACAAAATTTGTGTCTAGGAAAGTATTTCATTCTTCTCCTTTTCCTAATCACAGATCTCCCTGTTCCCAGGAATCATAATCAGCAATATTATGCTCTAGGTCAATTCTCAGAAAAATAATTTGCCAAAATCTCATATGCTATTTGCCCAGTAACCAACATGTTAAAAAGTAAATACACCTAAAATGTAATTCAATGAAGATCAATTTGCCAAATTCACTGGTTTTCTAGAAATTATTTACAGGGTTTGTAGCTTTTAGAATCTGATTAATTGGCAGAGGTAAGAAGACTATAGGGAACCAGGTAAGCAAGGTGCTAGACCTCTGGACTCTTTTTCTGCCCTCAGTTTACCATTTCTTTTCCTCAGGTTTACTCTCTGCTCTTGGTCTAATCTTCTTTGAGCTTCTCAGTCTTCCCATCTCTGGGTTGACAAGTTGAGCTGAGTCATGTACTAACTACATAGTCAATTTATCTTCCTATAGAAGAAGGTCACTCTTCTTTGCTCCAGCTCCCTCCAGTTGCAGCTGCAGGGAGCTGGGACAGAGATGAAATGAACATTTCTTAAAATGCTGACTGATATCACAGAACTATCCACAAGCTACTAAAAAACATCCAATTAGAACTGCTATAAATTTGWAGTTAAGGAAGTTTTTGATGACAACTGGCAAGTCTGGTTAATTTGGTGAAATTTAAACGACAAAACTGGAAGTAAGTTAAAAATGCTAATGCTGAAAAAAACTTTTAAAGGCTTTTTAGAAGGCTTAGAAAGAAATCAGCATAAATAGAAAAATTCCCATTGGAAATGCTGAAGTTCTGACAGTTATAAATATAAATATAAAGAAAGAAAATATGTTCATTGGTACACTAAATTCCTTAAGGCTTTTCAAAAACTGAACATTTCTTAAAATGCACAAGGCTGGAGCATAAAGATAGAGAGGTCATTGCCCACCTAAAGTCAACCAAAGCACATTTTGCATGTTGGCCAAACAACAAACAACTAAATACAATCAAAGCAGACCAACTCAAAACACAGGATACCTACATTTTAAGATACAATTTATATAAAACCATGTGTGTATAAACACATGCACTGGAAAATCTGTGTTAAGATAACACTAGACCAGGGAAGACATACATGTAACTCAAGAAAGTAAGATTTGGTAAATATGAATTTTTCTTTCACCTTGTATGTAGATAGTTTTTTTCAGACAAACTTTAAAAAACAATAAATATGTACACATGTGGGAAGATACATTTCAAATGCTTAGTTATCTTAGAAATAAACTTTAAAAAAAAAAATGGAACGCTCCTCGAATTTGTGTGTCWTCCTTGTGCAGGGGCCAAGCTAATCTTCTCTGTGTCTTTCCAATTTTAGTATATGTGCTGCCTGCTGAAGAGAGCACAGAAATGAACTCTTAAAAATAATTTGAAATTTAAGGAACTTTAGAGAAAAAAGCAGCCATGAGCATAGTTTTATTTATATATTTTGCAAAGACCTAAGATTTCTACTGATTTATTTATAAAATAAATAACATTGTTAAAAGAAAGTAGTTTCTGAAGCTAAAAAAAACTTAGAAATCATCCCTCTAATTTTTAGCAAGAATTAACAGAATGGCTTTCTAGTATTGAAGGAAAAAAACGTATTAGCTTTTCAAATAAGGTACATTTAAAAACTTGGTATGATTCCAAATAAAAATGTTTAATGGAACTAAATTTTACATTAAAATTTTAACTTTGTGTTATAAGAAAATATTTTAATTTTGTTCCTACAATTTCTGATTGATTCTTTGGAAAATTAAAAGTAAACTCTTCGGGGGCTGGGGTTGTAGCTCAGTGGCAKAGTGCTTGTCTAGCATGTGTGAGGCCCTGGGTTTGATTCTCAGCACAACATATAAATAAATAAAATAAAGGCCTCTTGATAACTAAAAAAAAAAAAAAGAAAAAAGAAAAAAAGAAAAACAACAACAAAAAAATAAACTCTTCATAACTCTGCACCATATTGCCTAGGAGGCAGAAAACAGCATGAAATTATAAATTTCTCTAATACAGTATTTAGTATTGAGTCATACATGGCCTCCAATAGCATGAGTATCACAAACATCCTTACTCCTACTATACAAAATTTACAGATGCTAACATTTTCATATTTACTTCTACTCCTTTTCTTTTTTAAAAATATTTTTTTAGTAGTACATGGACCTTTATTTTATTTACTTATATGTGGTGCTAAGAATTGAACCCAATGCCTCACACATGCTAGGCAAGTACTCTGCCACTGAGCCACAACCCTGGCCCCTTATAATCCTTTTCTATAGTAAAAGAAATAAAACATTTCTTTGAAGTTGCTATCACATTTTTATTCTTTCTTAGACTTACTTTCCTCCTCTCCCAGAGGAAACCAATTTTGTAAATTTCATGTTTACATGTTTTATTATACATATACATAAATGTAAGTATTCTTGTGTGTGTGTGTGTGTGTGTGTGTGTGTGTGTGCGCGCTGTGCCTTTAAAAAATAACATTTTGATTTTCAGGTGTGGTAATGTTGATACGTATAAATCTAATTTGATTCACATTAACTTCTAAATAGCACTTTATGACAATTTATGTATCTATTCACCTATTGAGTAAATATGTTGATGATGGTAAGAATCAGAATTTTCACTGTTGGCTAAGGAAAATATAAATATTTTTATTTGTATAGACAGATAGAAAAGATGAAGAAGAACTTGGTGATGCTGGATTCTAACTGAAGCTATTAGTAGGATTTTATGACTTAAAAATGCATGCATACATACATATCTATTTTTCCATGCAAATATGAATGTAACTCTGTATACTGAAAAGAGTCTAGAAGCAATGATACCTAGAAGGAATTTTAAAAAATCCTAATTTGTAAATATTATTTCATAGGAAAGACAACAAAGGCTCATTAAAGAAATGGTCAGYTCCAAGCCTGGGGCAAGGGAAAACTCAAGGTGAATCTGGAATATTTTGTGTGCCAGAAAAAGAGAAAGAACTTCTCAGGAATTATGGGAATGTTTACAGAAACAAAACAAAACAAAACAACAGTTTAAAGGAGCGTTCACAGGACAGATCTAAGCTTAAAGATAAAAAGGAAAAAAAAGTGAAGGATTATAATGCATTAAATATTAATAACAAAAATAAAAAAATCTTCAACTTTATAGTGATATTTTTTTAAAGGAGGAAAAATAAATTTTTTCTTTGTAGAAAAACAACAGCTAATAAATATGGAAGCAATGGTAGAATTAGAAAACTACTATTTTGAAACTGTTTCAGTCAAAAATCATCAGTGAATGCTAAAACCACTGGATGAAAGATTTTGGGGAAAGAATGGACACATGATTTGAAATTATCACACCAAATATTATTTGCTAATTGCAAAAGAAAAAAATTATTTTTAGAATTTGCCTTATTTTAGTAAGGTGGAAATTATTATATTTATTGGTTAGGAAGGTCTTCTCTTTAGTCTTTGCCTATTTTTGTGTTGATTTTCTTGTGTTGTATTGAGTTGTACAAATTTCTTATATACTTTGGATATTGTATTTTGAAAGTCTTTACTCAGACTGTAACTTATTTGTAGGACATTTTTTATAACGAAAGTTTTGATTTTGATATAGACAAATACATCTCTCATTTCCTTTAYGATTTGTGCATTTTGAGGCAAATTTCATTTACTTTCCCCTATTTTCAGTCATAAAGTGTTTTAGTCAGTTTTTTTGCTGCTGTGACTAAAGGACCTGACCAGCACAATTACAGAGGAGAAGAGATTTATATGAGGGCTCAAGATTTCAGAGATCTTAGTCCAAAGAAGGCAAGTGCCATCCCTCAGGGCTCAAGGTGAAGCTGAACATCATGGTGGAGTATGTGGTAAAGAGAACTAGCTCACATCACGATGATCAGAAAGCAGAGAGAGAGTTCTTCGCTTGCTAGATACAAATATATATATCCCAAAGCCACACCCCAATTCCTATACCAYACCACTTCAGTTACCATTCAGTTAACCCCCATCAGGGGATTAATTCACTGATTGGGTTAAGACTCTTACAATCCAATCATTTCTCCTCTGCACCTTCTTACATTGTCTCACATGTGAGCTTTTAGGGGATACCTCACATCCAAACCATATTTTCTTCTGAAAGTTGGATCCTATTCAGTTTATTTAATTAATGAGCTGAACTGTAAACGCTGAAATGTTAGAAAATAAAAGCTACTGTAGCAGCCTCTGATCAATGTTAATTTTTGTTCTATGAGGTTTTCCAGCTTTAAGTGAAGACCCCTTTTAAGAGCATTGAATAATTGAGTTACTACTTAAAACCATATAAGATAAAGTTATATTTTCAGGATATTAAAAAAAGTAGAAAAGAACAAGTCAAATCATCTTACATGAGTGAACAAAACTTCCTTCCTGAGCTCTTCAAAATTGTCATTTGGAGTCCATGCTTCAGCAAAATGCAGGAAATCCCATTTTTCCTTATCATCTTCTTCAGCCTGAAGCTGTTCCTTCCTACCATTTAATGTGCTCCCAGTGACCCGGACCTGTAAGATGAAAAAACATATGAATTTTACAACAGTTTATCTCGCAGATGACATTCATTAAGTAGTAACTTGATTTTGCATTTAAACCATAAGTTATCCACTAAGAGAATATTACTATTCCAACTTTAGTGATATATTCAAAATTACAACCAAATTACCATCTCAATGATTTCTATGCTTAATGAGGGAAAGATCTAACTAGAAACATTACAATATTTGCTTTTCTCATAAAAGCTTTTAATATTTATATGCTTTGAATTTTAACTTAGAGATAATAGGCCATTTTGAATATCTATACTCAATGATTGAAAAATACTACAACAGAATGAATATTTATGCTRCCTCCCAAAATCCATTAAGATGTAATTCTGGCTCCCGATGTGATGATATTAGGAGGCTGGAACTTTGGGAAGTGATAATGTGGTAAAGGTGGAGCCTTCATGAATGGGAATACTACACTTATAAAATGGACCCCAGAGAGTTCTCTTTCTATCATGTGAAGATACAAGAAGCTGGCAGACTACAACTTGGAAGAGGGCCCTCATCAGAATCCAACCATGCTGGCACCCTGATCTCAAACTTCTAACCTCCCCAACTGTGAGGAATAAATTTCTATTGCCCTTGTGTCAACAGTATGTAGTATTTTGTTACAACAGCACTTATTAAGACAGAAATCCTCTAATACTTAGTCAAGCCCTTTCTATAAACATCCTTCAAGATTAGGGAGAAGAGATAGTTTAGAGAACAGAGCAAAKAATGCCATTCCTAACTTTTCTTTTTTATTTTGGGTACTGGGGATTGGATCCCAGTATACTTTTCCACTGAGCTATATCCCTCGTTCTTTTTATTTTTACTTGGATACAAGGTCTCACTAACTGGCCCAGACTAGCCTTGAATTGTGATACTCCTACCTCAATGTCCTGAGTCCCTGAGATTACAGGTGTRTGCCACCATATTCAGCTCATTCCTAACTTTTCTAGGGTCTGGGTAAGGATGTCCTTTGTCTAATATTAGATCAGAACTCAAGAATCTTTCTGGAAAGGATTTAGTCTTAGGCTACAAAAAGAACTTGGAGTTTCAAATATTAGGTTCCTTGCTAGCTGATCCTATTCTTCTAGTTCTGAAGCAGTAGAATCAGTGGTAAGCATTATGATCTCTATTATCATTACCTTGGTRTACTTTGCCTGAAGACATTAAATGTCAGCTTTTTTTTTTAAAGGTGGACACAATATCTTTATTTTATTTTTATGTGGTGCTGAGAATTGAACCCAGTGCCTCACACATGCTAGTTGAACGCARTACCACTTGAGCCACATCCCCAGCCCAAACCTCAGCTTCTTAACTGATTCAGGCTATAGACCATAATAAGCAAGTTAGTAACTTGGTTTAAATGCAAGTTCTACCTTTCGATTCAGCATTCCCCACATAAGGGTGTCCASAGTCCCATTTGCAATAAGGTAGTGAATAGTCACAGAACTGCACTGCCCAATTCGGTGAGCACGGTCTTCTGCTTGTTTTATATGTCCAGGGTCCCAGTACAATTCAGCAAATACAACATGACTTGCAGCAGTAAATGTTAAACCCTAAGCAAAAGATAGTGAAGAAACTGAGATGCAAATAAATTAAAAATTGTAGCACAACAGTCATATACAATAAAGTCTTTCTGAATATGTTAAATGGAGATCATCAGAGGACTTAGAAACAAATCAGTTGTTCATTTTAAGCCAAATTAAGAAGATTCAAAAAAGTTAAAAGATTGCTTATTGCAAGACAGCCAAGTGAACTACAAAAAATATRTTTAAAAGACATTTTGATGTTTCAAAATGTTTCAGGTTGATGGATATACATAAACAAAATCACTTCATTCTTTGATGAAGACTGGATTCACTTTATCACTGGAAAATCTAATAAAATATATAATAAAGGTGAATATAATTTTTAACACATGGTATCCATAGCAACTAGGCAGAGAGTATCGACATCCTCTTCATTTAATTCAAACTGCAGTACTATAAAGTAAGAAAATCATGTCTTCAGTGATACTTTTTTCTACCTGTGAAATTTCTCATGATACATCCTGAAGACACTGAAGTTTAGTGCTTTATGTCTCAATATATATAATGCAACAGCATTTTTTTGTAATTGCATTTTGCATGAATTTGAAATAGTGTGACATAAAAATATGAACTGTCTTATTGTATAAACAATATGAAATAATGCAAATTTCCTCAAATAAAAATTGTGTCAAAGATGCATGATGTTAAAGTTGGTAGACTGAATGAGATGTAAACAATGTTTATACTATGGCCATATAGTAGTAAACGATGTTAGGTAGTAGTCAGAAAATCTACCAACCTTTAGGAAGATGGTATAATCCATGGTGTTGTTCACATGCATTGAAAGTTCTATGAGTGAGTAGTTTTTGTGATGATATTATTTTAACTTAAAATGTTTTTGTGTCATATAACAAACTCATATTAGCATTCATTTAATGGGGCACTAGGTCTCAAGCTGAAAATTTCATTGAAAACCAGTCACTTTATAAAATTGGATAGAGCCGAATAAACACAATGTTGAAATCCACTGCTATTTAGGACCAAATGTACTACCAAATATTAGAGATGATGCTGAAAAATAAGAAGCAGCATTTAGAGAGGAATACCTTTAAACTTGTAAAAAGGATCACATGACCATATAAGAATAAAGGAAAATATGCTGTCAAGATCACTGGCATCTTTTTTTTTTTTTTTTTTTTTTTTGGTGGTGCTGCGGATTGAACCCAGGGCCTTGTGCATTTGAGGCAAGCACTCCACCAACTGATCTATATCCCCAACCCCTGTATATCATCCTGAGAGCTGTTAACCTATAATGTAAGATTCTCAGTGCTAAGAACAAAGCTCTTCCTACTTTCCTTTATTCCTATGAAGATATCAGTCTTCAAAGTATAAGAGTCTTGAATTATAACAGGTCTTCAGGAGCACAGCTTTGAATAATTTGGGAGTGACTTGTACATTCTTAACTTCAAAAAGTCATTTATTTTTTATTTGTATTTTTAATTTGAAAAAGTCCCAGGCTGTCCTGCCTGGTTTTCTCCTACGTATTACCTACCTTGCTATAAATACTCCATTTCTAATTTTAAGCTTTTCTTAGTATTTCTATATCTGGAATACTATTAACAGATACTGAGCTCAGATTACTGGACATACAATGCAACATGACAGAAGTATTGAGATAACCTTCCCTTTAATTTGAATATCCTTGTGAGTTCCAGAAATGCTTCATCCTCAGAATTTCTTTATATATACAATTTTATTTTTAAAAATATATTTATTTTTTAGTTTTAATCAACACAATATCTTTATTTTACATTTATGTGGTGCTGAGGATCGAACCCAGTGCCTCATGTATGCTACGCAAGCACTCTACCACTGAGCCACAACCCCAGCCCTATATATACAATTTTATTTAAATCATTTAGCTGAGTAGAAGCAGATCTTTGCTATATATTAGGTTGCAGGCACAGAAGTACTCTCAATCAGTTTTCCGTATGTTGAATGTACTGACTTAAAACACTTACGTAGGAATATTTTAGAATATAGGAGAAAAAAAGTACAGAAAGATCCCCTCAATATAGTGTGGCTAAGACTGTCATTGCTTTCCCTAATATTTATTCTTCTCTTATTCCTCCATAACATAACACCTGGATTTTATCAGGGGYACTGGGAATAAAGACTACTCTTTCCAGCTTCCCTTGTAAGTTTGAAGTGACCATGGGACTAACTACAAGCCAGTGAGAAGATGTAGTGGGTCTTCCTTCAGGCAATTGCCTGAATTACAGATATGATGGAGAAGTTCTAGCAGCCCTCTTAGACTACAGATACTTGTTTGGAGTGGTAAAGCAGAAAGCCAGAAGAGGCATGGGTCCTAAGGATTTTGTGGAACCACCATTCTAGGATTGGACTCTAAGAGAGAATGAAATTTTTAATGTTTAAGTCACTCTTAATCTGAGTTTTTATTTATTTACACATCAGAGCACTCTATAACAAGTTCTTGGACAAAAGAATTTCTCCCTCCCAGATCATGTTGTCTCACAGATCAATGAAACATAACCAAGTAAGATAAGTGGTATAACAAAGTTTTGAGAAAATTCAAAGGAAGGAAAAAAGGTCATAGTAAAGCACTACAATCAAATTAACTATACTCTGCTGGGTAATTCTTTACTTGAAAATTTAGGAAGATTTGAGTCAAAAATGTTGAGGCTTCTTTCTATTATACTTTTTAGCATTCTCTAAAATAGAATAAATATTAAAACTAGAATCCAGATATAAAGCTACTTATAGCAAAACCAGTGACAAAYCAAAAATTACACTATAGTTTACAAACCAAAATTATGGTTAATGGCCTTTTTATTATCTCAGTGACATTTTCATATCAAATTGAGACTTGAAATTTCTTACCTGACCAGCAGCCTGAATGCTTAGAATAGCCACACGAGTATCAGGATCGTTTTGAAATTGATTAACCAGATGTATCCTTTCTGAAGATGGAACACTTCCATCTATCCTAATGTAGCGAGTCTGGCATCAACAAGATAAATGGCAAAATTAGGTCAAGCCCGTATGCATCCTTCTCATATTATAAACTGTACTGCTTATTTTATGGTCATACAAAATAATGGAAATTAGTTAAGATGACAGGTTGGCAAATGTTTTATAAAAAAACTATTACCAAGTTTCTTAATAGCTTCTTATATTATAGCTTCTTATATTATTATATTATTTTTATCTTTTTTTTTTTTTAGTTGAAGATGGACACAGTACTTTTAGTTTATTTACTTATTTTTATGTGGTGCTGAGAATCAAACTCGGTGCCTYACACATGCTAGGCAAGAGTTCTACCACTGAGACACATCCCCAGGTCCAATTTCTTTTTTTTTCTTTTTCTTTTTTTATTATTTCTTTTTTTATTATTCAAAACATTACATAGCTCTTGACATATCATATTTCATACATTTGATTCAAGTGGGTTATGAACTCCCATTTTTACCCCGTATACAGATTGCAGAATCACATCGGTTATACATCCACGTTTTTACATACTGCCATACTAGTGTATGTCTTATTTTTTAATTAAAAGCCTACTTAAAGATAGGGTCTACATCTAATTCATCTTTATATCATCACTATCAAGGAAAATGCCTTGTATACAACAGGAGCTCCACACATCTTTTTTGAATTAAGGTAATGGTTATTTTTAGTAAAATTCTATGTAAACTGGTTGGGCACGATGGCGCAAGCCTGTAATTCCAGCGGCTTGGGAGGCTGAGACAGGAGAATTGTGAGTTCAAAGCAACCCTCAGCAAAAAGGGAGGTGCTGGGCTGGGGTTATAGCTCAGGGGAAGAGTGCTTGCCTCCCACACATGAGGCACTGGGTTTGATCCTAGCACCACATAAAAAAATTAAATAAACAAAATAGAGATATTGTGTCCATGTAGAACTAAAAAAAAAAAAAAAAGCAAGGTGCTAATAAGCAACTCAGTGAGATCCTATCTCTAAATAAAATACAAAATAGGGCTGGGGTGCTCAGTGGTCGAGTGCCCCTGAGTTTAATCCCTGGTACCAAAAAAGAAAAAAAAATTCTATGTAAATTGATATGCAACCTTTAAACAATGGATCAGACTAACTTTAAAGTTATAGAATCACTGATTCCAATGTAAAAGCATAGTCAGACATGCTAGAACAAAGATGACTCTGCACACATAGCAAGGATTCAAGAAGAGTACTGAATGTAACACTGAAATACAGCTCAAATATTAACTGGGAAATATGGCCCTTGAGTTCTCTTTTTTCACAATGTTAAAATGCAAAGAAAAATATGATATGGTCATCTCCATTCAGGTGGTGAAATAAGATACCCACATATATTTTTTTAAAAGTTGAGAAATATTATTAAACTGAACAGTGCTGTCTTTAAGAATAATTTCAGTTGTGACAAAGAAGTGTTTGAAAAGCTAAAAATAACTAATAATCCACCTTCATAAAAACAACTATGAGCCTTAAATTTCAAATAGTCTCATTCAAATATGCACGTCTACAGAAAGTATGGCCTTACATAGTTGAGACATAGAAATATTCACTTTTAAAAGAGAATAATTCAAGTTAATATCAAATAGAATATCAACTATTAACTTTATCTCCAGAAAGCAAATAATAAAAAAACTAAAAATCCATTTATTATTCATTAAGAGAGATTATAAAATCTTCTAAGGGTCTTTCTAAAAAAAATACACAGTTTATAAGAAAGTTTGGGAGAAAATCACTTTCTAACCCATGAGTACCTACATTTTTAACTTTTAGTAAAATATAGTAAAGCTAAATGAGATTCTAAACATACTAGTAAAATGAATGTGGGAAAAAGAGGCAGACCGTTATACTTGGAATAGATTCTAATAATTTTCTAGAATAAGAAAATATTATGAACCTAATTTTAGTGCTCTATCACTTAAAAATTATTTCTAAGTTTAATTAACACCTCACAAGRTGTTGTATAGATACTATAGAATAATCAATGAGAAAGTACCTTTTAATGTATAACACTTTATTACATTGTTCTCTATGTGCTCTATGGAGGAAACACTAGGACTACTTCTTTGGCTAATGTTAATGAACATAATAGTTAATTCTTAAAAAAYGATACAAAGGGGCTGGGGAGATAGCTCAGTTGGTAGATTGCTTGCCTCACATGCACAAGGYCTTGGGTTTAATCCCCAGCACCACAATAAATAAATAAATGACACAGGAGTAACATTTAAAAAAAATTGATATAAAGATTTTTTTTTAAAAACATGGCTTTATTCCTGATTTTAAAAAAATGACCTATAATGACAAGTGGCTTTGTTGTTGCATGTCTAGCAAGCTTACATATTTGTCAGAGAATTTCTTTAGGCCATTTCTGAACATCTCTAGAAGTTCTCATCATTTAAAGAGAATAGATGGCAGGTATAAATGTGGRAAAAAAAATGGATGATGCTGTCGCTGACAGAACCATTGGAAATTAAGGTTGACTGAAGAAAATGTGGTAGAGCCAGCTTATTTGGTGGCACTAATCTGGTAAGTCACATGGGCCATCTGTTTCAAATTCATCTATACTAAATCTTATCAATCATTTTCTATAGACTATACTGCCTGGAAGTTTAAAAGGTGTAAAAGTATTTAGTTGATAATACTGGCTGGATTCCTTTTTTCGTCTACATAACCCACATTCAAAGGACACCATGCAGATAAACAAAAATTTTAACTTTTAATTGTTAAAGAACATACTACTCTCAAATGGTATATCTAGGAAAAAAACAGAATTCACATTACTGTTTCCAAGCAACCTATGATTAATGAATTCAAATAAATTTATCAAAGGAAAATTTAAAAATTGGCATGAAAGATAAAATAGTACATCATAATAATATAGCATTTGTATAATTTGAAAAAAAATTTAATAATACATTATTTCTAAAATAATAAATTTTATAAAACATCTGAAGAAGGGGGGAATATCCTACCTAAATTATGAGACTACAAGTAATTTTTAGAATAGTACAAATTTGCTTTCTAAAAATTATTTTACATAACAAAGTCAACATACCTTGTTTTCAATGACTGCTTCTGTGCAAGCTTGGAGCATGCTTAAATGGTGAGCAAAAACCAGAAACTTAAGTGAATCATTCTGAAGTATCATCTTAATATAATCCTTTACTGCACCTGCCTAAATATTAAAAGTTAAACTATATTAATGTCATAAAAATTTTATTTAAGAATCATGTCATTTTTAAAGCAAAAAAAWAATGCCTCAAAAATCAGCAAGTCTCTGTATTAACATCAGTAGGTCTCACAACTTTTAGCTGCTTTCTTCTACTTTCTATAAGGAAGTAGAAGTCAATATGTAAGGGGCATGTGAAAAAAAGAGGGAGAAGAGGTGAGAAATGAGAGGTAAAACAAGAACAAGACAAGAATTAGAAAGAAAAAGAAAATAAAGCACAACATGGAAAGGGGTTAGTCAAGCAGGGTGTGGTAGAAGGGGTAGATAGTTTTGCTTAGAAGTTGACTTTCAAAAAAGTCTTAAAGAAGACTGTGTAGAGTTAAAGAAAAAACAGAAAGTAAAATTTTTTTTTTAAAAAATGGTATTTTGGGGTTGTAGCTCAGTGGTAGAGCGCTTGCCTAGCACATGTGAGACACTGGGTTCAATCCTAGCAGCACATAAAAATAAATAAACAAAATAAAGGTATTGTGTTCATCTATAACTAAAAA